TTTTTTTTGGAATTTTTTTATGTTTCTTTTTAGTAGACGCAATATCTTAAACGACATTACAAACTGTGCCTTTGAACATGTTTGGGCCAGATCAAAGGAAATGCCGCCCAAGGTTTCTCGAGAGTTCTTAGATTAATCTCGTGCAGATCTATATATTCTGAGATTATTTACTCGGTTGTCCTTCCACAGTATCACGAACCGGGATAACGAAATCTTACTGTGAAAACAAATCTTTGATAAGAATAAGGCTGTTTCTTGATATTTGTGAAGATGTATTTTGTCAGAGTTGCTTAGGGTAAGCCAGTGAATTTGATAAGTTAATTTTCAGTTCGCAAATGGTTCAACAGCTCTCTGAAATAGACAAAAGGAGGCAAATTATCTTATGAAAAGGTGTGATATTGGTTTTATCTTTTGGTGCTGTTGTCACACTGTGATAAATCCATTTAAAAACTATTCAGGTGATAAGTTTTGTTATGCATTTCTTGGAGACGTGCAGGATTTCAAATATTATGAAACACCCTTAGAAGCACTGGCAGGTCTTTCTCCATAAAACCCTGAACACTACTTTCATAGTTTATCTGGCCCGCTGTTAGTGGCGGGCAAATTAACCGTGTCGTACAGAACAATGCAATTTCGAATGAGTTTTCTCTCCACAGCAAGCGAAAACTTGAGAACAAGGCAAGATAAGAGCCGGCCATAAATCCTGCTAAACTCGTCATCAGCCTGTCGAAGTACTGAAGGAATGCTAAAACGAGTTTGTAAGCACGTGAATTAGACATTAATAGGAAACAGGCACTTGACTACTTTTCAACGTTTGGTAATTATACCTTTAGTGTAGAATTCGCCGTGACAAAACATAAGCGTGGCGTTCAGTGTCACACTGCATGTAGTGTCTCGAAGGAGCTAACGACACGCGTGTGGTTTACTTAGCTCACAGTAAGCAGTTATACCCCGCTACTCAGATTGTGTTCTCATTCCAAAGATTTTTTCACGTTCAGGCTCAATATAATATACCAACATTTGGAATATTGGAGAACACATAGATAAGTAAAATCTGATTAATAACATCCGGCATTGAGTTAAACCTTCCTTGAGGTTACAAGCGACCGGGGCAGGCGAAACACGCAAACGAAGACAGACAAAAACAAATTTGCTGTTTAGTTGCAAAGATTTGTTTCTTCAAGAAATCAAAGCCTTCAGAAAAAGCAACTTAAGTCTTTCTTTTTCGTCCTCACTTATTGAATCTTCAAGAGTAATCAATTTCTTTGATGGAATAAAATATGTCCTTCCTTTCACAGGGAAAATGACCCTGCTCTCGTTTCCTGTCATCTCATGTTTTTTTCACCGTTCATCGCTAGCCTGGGGTGTTTCAGTTGGCGCGAACAGTGATCATATTGCCGATCGATTTCAATTAGTTTTAACTCAATTAGTTTTAAAAAACAGGTCATGCTCTCTTAACACACACGACCACTAAGTAAAAGCAAGCACCGTCATGGAGGGCTGACGAAAAGTGCGAAAACAGCTCAAAATAACTCATTTCCTGTTCGAGAAAGATCAGCCTTGTCGAACGTTATCAGTGTAAAGTTAGCCGGGCCACCTGGTCGAGAACTCTCTGGGAAGGGGAGGGGGAGGCTACTTCCTTATACGGGCTTTATAAATATGAGAGGCGCCTTAGGGTATGGTTTCTGCGTGGTTTTGGTCTGAAAAATGGTGTGGATTTTGGCAATTTTGGTCTGAAGTAGAGTATGTTTTTCACACCTGGCTTGGCATTGGGTATTTTGTTTTTAGAGAATTAACTGTGTTTTCCGCGTGAAGTTGACAAATTTGTAGTTCTATCAAATGTTTACAGAAACGAAATGTACTAATTTTAGAAGTCTGAAATGGGGCATCGATTTTTCGCTCAGGTCTGAAATAGGCTAGGGAAAATCACAGAGTTTGGTCTGAAATAGGGTAAGGGTTTCAAGGTTCGGGCCGCTCACCTTCATCAATGACTTTGGGAAGTACCCTACACCCCCCCCCTCCCCCGAGAACTCTCCTGTATCAATGACGGCAATAGGTTGTTAACGTGCAAATCAAATAAAAACCTCACTAGGTCGTTAATGAACCTTGCAGCGTAGTGTAATACGATTGTAATGCTAACTACATGTCATTGTCGTTAAAAATTCGATCAAAAAATTGTCCAATTTTTGCGAGTCCAAAATCCCGATTTGGATGGGGATGACATTGGAGGAGTATCATAAAAGAGGTTATGGATGGGCCGAGGTAACAACTGATTACTGAGAATTGGTCCAAATTTTAACTGCCATTTGAGAAATGAGGCGTTTTTTCTAATTAATAGCTTAGATCTGAGATCTGAAAAAAAAAATCACTGGAATCTGAGAAATGGCTGAAATTTTAACTGATAGTTGAGAAATGGGATGAAATTTAAGACCCCCACAAAATCCTGGGCAGGTAAATACAGCTAACTGAGTCTCTCGGCGTGCTTAATGCTCTATCATATTTGCTTTGGTTTTGCGCGTGACAGCGCCCCGTACTCACCGTGACACCTGTATTTGCTCTCGAAAACGCAAAATTTAATAAGCGGATTAATCTTATCTCTTATCTGTTTGGCCAAGAGACTGTCGATGATCATCGTCTTTTTGTTTGACCCAAGCTATATTCAATGAATATGCACCCTAATGTTTCCGTCCCAGTTAGCGATAAAGCTTAATAGCCTCGACTTCCATTTCATCAGAATTGCCTGAGGTTAGCGGCCCTTTTTGTTTCATTTTTTTTCCCGCGGCGTAACTTGGGATAAGGCTGCTATCGCTATCGCTCTCAATACGAGTTGCGTAAGAGCGACAGTGGGCGAGGGGGGCTTGAAGGCTTTTTGTTACGTAATCAGAGTTCGGTAGAGAACAGTTTTCTGGCGCGTACAATGGATACGTTATAACGAGATTCTCTACAGAGTTTTCGATTCTGAAATTTGGACCTTGCACTGTAACCAATCAGATATCAGAACGGCTACGTCAGTCTTTTCAGCCAATCCTCGTTTGTCTTTCGTCACTTTCAAATAAACATTATGATTGTAGCAGTTAAAACTGTCTCGCGAAATGTTGTCACACTGGAAAGCGTTAGCCTCTTCCAGGCGTTCAGCTAGTTGGGGCGCAGCGCGAAAAATGTCGCATGAGAAAATAGGGGAGAAGCGCGGCGCGGGAAACTCCTTCATTCCCGCCGCCGTTTGTTTTTTCGTGCGGCGCCCAAACTAACTAAACGCTTGAAAGACTAGAAACTGTACGCGACAAAGCCGATGGGCTTTCTTGGTGGTGGCAGTTCATCTTTGCTCGATTAAGCTTCACGATGTCTCCTTAACGCAATATTCTGAAAACTTGTTCATCCATATTGCTTGGTACCTGTCTTCTTTACTGTATGGTCGAGGCATTACAGCTTCCGCTCACTTTTAAAACTGGCGATTATATTCTGGGCTTTCTTTCAGTATTGTCCCGTTCCCTGTGTGTTGGAGACATATATAACATCGCAATACTTGACCATTCACGTTGTGTAGAAAATACACAATAAATCAAGCAAAACGGTAAGAAAAACCTCCAACTAATGAAAGCGCGTGAAAACCGCGCGTTAGCCTAGTAGCGTTTGGTCTTAGTTTCACTTTTGATCGGACGAGAAATTAAGCGACGTATTTGTTACATATTTAACAATTAGACTGCGAAAGTAAGGTATCAGTTCACTGGTGAGTGGCTGGGGAGAAAGCTCGGCCTAAACCAAACATGATGAAAGTCGATTGGAAGTAATTATTTCAGTATAACCCAATAACGGATTTTAAAAAATAAATGATAAATGTTATCTTATGTAGTTAATGGTTTTCTCTAATACTTTTTGGCCATAATCCTAGTTTCCTAGAAGTCAGCCATTTTGATATGCTACTGTAATTTTCATGCTTTGTTTTATATCATAGTGTGCAAGGATGCGGAGCGCGAATCAAAGAGCGGCATGTGCAAATCATGGGCAAAGTCTGGTTACTGCGAAAAAGTCAAGTACGTGATGTCGAGGTACTGCCCCAAGGAATGCAAATATTGCAGTAAGTCATTGCTTTCTCTTCTGCAGCTTTTGTAATAGTCGGAATAAATCCGCCCCCTCTCCTCAAAAGAATCGTGGACAAGGACCCTCTCCCCGGTTTTTTTTTTCCGCGGAAAGGGGATAATGTAGGCAGGCTTCTTCTGTTGCTTGTTTCAGTCTCGCTCAGAGTGTTGGGTTCGTCTACCTTTAGCCTCTGTTACAGCCACATTTCCTGAAAGAAAAGAAATGGGAGAGAGAGCTCTCTGAATTTTTTCTTCCGGGGACAGCCTGTGAACGACCCTGTGAACAGGCTCCGGCTGGAGGTGTCTGACCGCGGCTGGAAGGGCCGAGAAGGCCTGGGTGAGAGTGAAGTGATAGAGGGGGACTTGGGTGGGGGTTGTGGCGTCCCCCCTCGTCTCTTTCCTCTCCTCTCTCTTTTATTCTCTTTCTTCCCGTTTTCTCTTCGCCCCATCCTCGACTAGAGAGCATGTTCACAGCTAGGCTATTCGGGGACTGAGGGGACTGACACAGACTAATTTCAAGGACCTACATTCAATCGATTTTAGAACTCGTTCAGCTGAAAAATCTGTGTTGATTACGCCGCTATGGGAATTATTTAAGCAATAGACCACAGGTTTTCACGGTTTATAGGCTGATAAACCACGCGGGATGTTGGAGGAACACTCCGAAGAATTCTTCGAGTGTTCTTCCAACATCCCAAGTGGTTTATTAGCCTATAAACAATAGGAACTTGTGGTCTATTGGTTTTATATAATAATTCAGAAGACACGCGAAATTTCCCTGAATTTACAGGCACAATAAACCATAGCTGATTGACTAATCAGGGCGCGCGCGCATTCATTTAATTATCATATAAAGCTAATTATCTTGCGGTACTGTACAAGTTTAGCTGAGTTTTACAAGCGTTAATATTTAATAATCCGAGAATCTTGTGCAAACGCTGTGCATTACATTTTTATGAGAAATTTTATCAAGTTCGTTCAGAGGTTCGGGATATGAATATCACATCAACTGAACCATTTCTTATCTTCGAGATATGTTTTACCATTCGTTTTCGATTAAACTGAGCAGTGAGTATAGGGAAAAATGGTATCATGTCTGATTTCAGTTATATTTCGTGTTTCGTGTTAATTCGATCGCGTTTTGATTCTTTATTGCATAATTACTGATCTTTACATTTTCTAGCGTGACGGATGTTGCTGCCCGCAAAAACACTCGTTGAAGCATAATTAGGCATATGGTCCGTTTTGGGTCAGTTTAATTTCTTATGCCTGTCTAGAGGTCAGTCGTTTGCAATTTTAAACCTTTTTTCCTTGTCAGTATTCTGTATAGTCTAGCTTGTTTGGCAGTTTCGTATTGGGCTGTATTGAAAAAACCCGACTGAGCTGTTGTCAGTTTATATTATCGAACATTTCGACAAAATGGCTCCGGGGTGTTGTGGCTTTGATATCTTACATTTTTCAATGGCAAAAACGTAATACTGTTTTAATGTATTCCAAGAAACAAAGGAAGTTTTGACTAATTGTACCGCAGTTCTGCGAACGTGACAAATTCGTGAATACTACGCAAGATCACTGAGTAACGAAAGCGAAAGTGCTTAGTCAGCTTTAGTTTAGGGGAAAATTAGCTGAAATTGAGAGGGTTGAATCTTAATTCATCGTCATGGCTGAGATAGCGGATCATTTCGAGAGAAAAGCAAGGTTTGAGAACCAAAGCGAAGCAGAACTCATCCGAGAGAAACTCGAACGATTGGTGAACAACATTCTGTCACTGGTGGAAAAGCGAGACAAGAGATTTCAGAGCACTCTGATCAAAAGCGGAAGCGTCTACGAAGGAGTGAAAGTTGGCAAACCAGATGAATTCGACTTCATGATCAGACTTAACTCGCTCACGGACAAGGCTTCATTTCATCCCTGCCACAAAGGTGAAGGCTACGTGAAGCTCCACCTGGATGAGCACGAGTGGAAAGAATTCAAAGATGAGGAAGGCTTCTTCAACCCAAATCTTCTCTGCCGCCATTTTAAGAAGCTCGTCAACGAATCGTTAAGCGATGCCGAAGTACCCGACGGACTCCGAATCCAGCGAGCCAGTCGCGAATTGCTCGATGGTTCCTGGGGGCCTGTGTTTTCAGACCTGCTAGGAAACAGAAGTGGCCAAGAAAATTCATCTGGTGTGATGTACTCGGAAACGCACGGCCCGGCTACCACACTTTACATTAATTGGGAAGGCGGGGAGAGTTATCGAGGTTTGAATATAAGCGTTGACTTGACGCTAAGTTTGGAGTACCCTTCATCAAAACTTCCGGTTCAGCTGGCTAAGCTTCCACTTAAAGTAGACGTGATTCTCCAGAAGAGTGGATTTCACGTAGTTCCAGCTGGTTTTGACGTCTGGCGAATCTCATTTTCCATGGTCGAAAAAGAAGTTTTGCACTCCTCTCCTGAAGGTTTCAAAGCATGCTACCGAATTCTGAAAATCGTCAGAGATGACGTCTCGGAGAGCCTGGAACTGGACGCATCCTTAGTTCCATCGTACATGTTTAAGACCGTCCTTGTGTCACAGTTGTTTATAACACCGGGACATCTCTGGGAGAAGGATCTTTGGTCCCAAAGGATAATTCAAACCCTAGATCTCGTTTTACAAGGCGTGAGGCGAGAAGAAATTCAAGGTCTCTTCATACCAAGGTACAATCTACTTTCCGCGAGGGATCGCGAACATAAGCTACGCCAGTTTGTGGTGGAAGAGATGCTGAATCAGATGAAGGGTTTGGAAATGGCGCACACTCTAGAGGACGCTAGAGAAACAAAACGACAGATCAGGGTTTTAGAAATAATTGATTTGTTGGAATACGTGTTCTCAAGCATTCTTAGTGGAAAAGATCCGACTGCTCTGTGGAATAAGATGTTTGTCAACGTAGGCAACGTTCCTGGCTCGCGCAAGTTTGGCTGGTTCTGGAACCAAGTCACTGACCTCAATACTACAGAACTTGATGAAGACGCGTACAAGAGATTGATGGAAATGTGGAGCTTGGTGGAGGATTTCTTCAAGCAGTTACTGGCCACGTTGGAAGGGGAGCTAAACTTATTGGCCCAGAGGTTCTACATCAGAACTTGCGAGAAGACAAAGAAATACGAGCTTGAACACAGAGGCTTGTCGGAGCGTAAAGTCGAGCAGGTTCCCATTCGTCAACTTGCCTCTGAGATGTTCGAAGATATTGCAGAATGTTACATCAAAGAAGAGAATTCATCGTGGGCAAATCTTCACAAAGCAATTCCTCCAGAGTTCACCCCAACAGGTTTCTTTCGCGACGTTGCGGACGTGACAGAGAGGGATGGAAGTGTTAGTGGCCTCTCACTCTTCAACCAACGCCTCAAAGATTATCTCTTGTTGGTCCCCGAAAATTGCATCATGACCCTTACTGTTGGTTATGTTCGAAAAATTTTTTTGCATGCTAAGGACATACTAACACGGAAACTTGATTACATTACTATACCAGAGTTAGATTTGGATTGAGCCTTGGGAGACCGTGGGACCATTTTGCTGCCTAGTTTCCAGGCCATCATCAGGCGGTGAACTTTGTGTGTGCAACAGTCCCACAACTTCCTGGGAACGAGTTTGGCGAATTTTGTTTTTACACTTTAACTGTTAGGTTTCAATTTAACCCAGAACATCTATAAAGAAATTTCGAAGGGAATCATTTGTTCCTGAAAACTGGAGAGTAAAACATAAAATTGTCAGTAAAGTCTTTCAGAGAAGAGTGAGAACATATCAGTGAAATTCGGGCTTCATTTTTTTTTTGTATTTCTTAATCGTTTGAAGATAGTGTAACAACGGACTTGTAGTAAATGTAATTTAAGTTAAAGGACTGAAAAAAATATATGTAACCTCCTTTTTCCTCCTGCTCAAGAGACCGGAACAGCTTAGAAAACAGTTGCCAGGGAACGAGTACAAGTCGATAGAGACATCCCGCTGTTTTCCTCCCTTCAGTTGCTCAGCAAAAGAAGTATCCTAAAAAAATTAACTAGTCATTATTACAATATCCACATTTATCCTAGCAAGACTGCTAGCGCTGGTTGATATAGTTGGATATTTATGAGAATTCCAAACTCTTCAAACGCCTCAAGAACATATTTACTGTCTTGAAATGCTTGTACTCTATCCGAAAGCAAAGATAAGGAGGGGAAGAAATTCGGTGTAAAAACAGGATAAAATATCGTAGATTACCAGATTAAGAGTCGCACTCCAGTGGCACTCGTTGTCATGGATGCTTCAAGCGCGTTTAAAGAATTTTGTACGGTAACAATTATTAAACACTGTTAAAACCTGTGGGATGTTTGTAATTATTTCGCGCCCCCTCGCGTTATTTTGCACGCTGCAAGGTGGACGTCAGGTCGAGTTTGATAGTAAGGACAGAATATTGAGCCTCTTGAACTGTGCTACAGAAATGCGTCAGTCTACACTACACATAAGTGCGCATCCTTGTGTTCTTTAAAGAGCGGAAGTACAACATGTTCAGTTTCAGGGAGATGTCAGAGTTCAATTTCAAGGACTATTAAGCGTCAAAAACTTTCACGGCTTCGAATTTTGGTTTCAATGATCAATCTGCTTTTCTGATTTACTTAACCAAACTATATAAAAGTGGACGCCGCATGGCACTGCGCTTTTTCTATGCACACTAATGTGTTCTTCCTGAGGGGAAGAGGGTATGAGTAGGCTGCCCTCGACCGGATGTACCAATGCTACAGGACAGTAAAACTATTCAAAAATTACAAGGGATTGGAAAAACCTACATTTATACGATTATCTGTCTGTCTGCCTGCTGATTTGGTGGGGTTGTTGTTGTTCACGAAGCAGAATGTCCCAAATAAACATTAACATTCACTCCAAGTGCTTTTTATATATATCAATTTATGTAATACTCGGATGAAATCCAAAGAATCAGAATCGTCGGGAGGTTGGCAGGCAAAGATACTAGGGTGTTAAAAATGCAAACTCGACCTCGAGGTAGAGAATATATTGGTAATATTATGCCTCCATCTATCCTTCGAAATGGTCCCAGCGACGGCTGAGTTCGCTAGTTAAAACGATCTTTTTCATCTGCAGAGCAGTTCAGCCCTCCTGGATGCCAATCGGGGAAGTACGGGTGTTGCTGGAACAATCTCGAAGCCAGGGGGCCAAATGGACGCGGATGTCCAGGTAAGTGAGCAGCAACAAGCACTGGGAGATTATGACGCGCTTTCCTCTAAAAAACGTTTATCAACTTCTCGATTCTCCTAAGAAGAACTGAGCTTAGAATCGTCACACATTATTTATTACAATGATCCTACTGTACTGTCCACCATAACTTTATCATTAGTGTTGCGTGACAACTTTAGTCTGCAATCTCTTTTTATCAGTCACGTAGTATTTCTTCCCAGTCCGTAACAGGTGATAAGGACGGTTCAAATGTGGAAGTAACGAAACACTTTCCCAGTCCGTGACAGGGCAGAAGAACGGCTATATAGTTAGAAGTGACGCAGCTTTTCTCATAAGGACAGCGGCAAGGGTGAAAACAACGCAATAGTTACTTCTTACCAACTGTTGCGTGATGCTTCACAGCGAACATCTTCGTATTATTTGGTCACGCAAGGTCCTCTCCACTCACGATTATTTTATGTCAATTGTAGTTTGTAGGGATTCTTATGGCCGGCTATGCAGACTGTTTGAGTACTACTGCCCCAAACCTGGAAAATATGGACAGTTTGTTCGATATCACTGCTTCAAAACATGTGGATGGTGTGACAAGTAGGTCCATTTCTAACAATATTCCTAGTCAATTCCTTTTCCTGCTTGCCTTCCTGCAAGAAAGAGAAAGACGAAAACTAAGACAAATATAGAAAATGTCAGCTGTAATGCAGTGGTATAGAAAAGCCCACATATGTTCAACTCAAAACTAGTCAAACATGCATGCCATATAATGAAGAAATCAACCCATCAAGCTTCCACCCTGTTCTGTTTATGGTAAATCACTACATCTATCTACATCAGGGTTGCCACACACTGGAACAAAAAAAAAATCCCCGACTTTTCACTGACTGTAGAGCAACTTCCAGTGACCCTGCAGGATGACTATTCTGGCCATGAATCAACAAAAATAAGGATGGCTCAGATAATTTTTAAAAAAAAATTGCCTTGTATATACAAAAACATCTAATAAAATAATTTGCAGCAACCAAAATCAAACAAATCAAACAAAGCATTGACCAACCTACAATCAGGCTTTTTTTTTTTGGCAAATGGGGAAGGGAAGAATTTGTTCCCCTTCCTCTGTTTGCAAAAAAAAGAATGCCTGATTGTAGGTTAAGCACTGACAAACGTTACAGTCAAGAAGCTACTTTCAAGAAATGGAGAAGGATTCCTTGGCAGTGATTCTATTTTGGCCACTCAATATTTTTCTAAGCAAAAAGAGAAAGTATAGGAAAACTATGCTGGAGAGACTGAAGATGGTTTAAAGAAGACAAAGCTTGTATTCTGGAAACAAACTTATTGAGAAGTTGAAGATTTGCTATTTCTTTTTTCAGGTTTGCTCAGCTCAGAAATAAACAGGCATCAGATGCTCTATAGTTACTCCATCTATTTATGGGGAGTTTCTTGATGTCAAATCCTTCAGAAAAGCTCAGAAGAACAAGACATATCTCCTGAACAAGGATTACCAGTCACTGTTTGGTGAGGACATCTTAGCCATGCATAACTGACAAGATGTCTGTATGCAATTTGACACTTTAATGATCATATGGGGATAGTTTTCAAGATAGTTTATTGTCTAGTTTCTGGGTCTCTTGAATTTGCTGTGGTCAATCCATTTACAATAGGTGATGTTGTGTGTGATGATACTGAAATGGACTTGAAGTAAAGGTCTGGAATAAAGCCATACTGACATTTGGTAGCAATGGTAGTTTACAAATTAGATGAAGAAGGGGACTTAAACATAATATTTTTGGTAATGATAGATCATAAGATCATAATGATAGATCGTTTTATATATGAAATAAAAAAAGGAAGGAAATATACAACTCCATAGAAAAGAAATTTATCCACTCAGCCAACAAAAATGCAGTGTCAGTATTGTTATCAAGAAGAGGCTCAATTTCATTACCATATTTACTCTGTAAGCTTCATTGCGTCTTTAAAAGATTTACTCAAAACTCCTTTATACAAGAAATGTGACGAGAAATGATTTTTTAGTAATTTTAACAAGTTTTGTACGTCTAAGGTTGAAATGACCCAGCTTTTACATTTATTTTGGATATTCTCCCCAAAAACATTGTTTTGTTGAAAGACAACTTTAAAAAAAGACACCAAGAGAGAGAACTTTGCATGCTCTTTCAGTCTTTTTGCTATTCAATACCTGTTGTCTGTGTACAGCATACTTAAAATAATATTATTATAATGTAGAAGAGTCCAGCCACGATATGCAAGGACTATCTAAATTTTCTTTTCCTTATTTATCTCTAACCTTCATATTTGATAGACAGTATATTTAAAGAAAATACAACTCATATATATTCAGAATAAATTACATTTTATCTACAGTTGTTGTTGTATGTCCCTTTACTGGAATTTTGATGTTGTGGTTCCAAAGCAATGTAACATAATAACCCATTTCTGAGTTGAGCTAAGCCTCTCTACCAACATGAGGCCTGGTGCACAACCCTTCATGAAAATGAAAATGAGTTTAATTTGTATGTGAATGAAATGAGTCTCATTTTCATATCAAAGGATGGGTACCAAGACTCGCTTTGAGAAAGAGGCTTAAGGTAATTCAGAAATGGCCTAAGAAAGAAACTAATATGTTACTACAAAGCTTGGAAACCATCTGAGGTTATGTAAACATAGTTATGATATCACAAAATTTCCTTTTTTGCATCCATGGCACAGTCAAAGAGATTAAAAATCACTGTTTTTCTTTTACAGAGGCTAATACAGTTTTTGTAAAACTCAAGAGGCCTTTTGTAACCATCACTTGCTAGTCAAGCTTTCATAAATGTTTGAACTCTCTAAAATGTAGTCTTGAATATTATGGAACTTCACAGGTTTTTCTACAGTTCTCAATATCAAATTGGTTATTTTTGTTGGAATCAAATAAATATTGAATTTTCAGAAAGTCATAAGTTAAGCAAGAAAGATGTTGACAATGTTTGTGTGGCCTTACCGTTTGTCCGCAATTTGTTCTATTTGTTTTCCAGCTACAAGTATTCCTGTTAGCGAGAGCCTTCTTTGATTAACCTGTTAGAATTCTGAAAAGCAAGTGGTATCAAGGGGAATAGGTACTCGTAATCTGCACAGTTTGCTTTTCATGGTTGCTAAACGAAGCAAAAGCTAAGCTTGTTCATCTGTATTCACTAAACCGTTCATATTGCTGGCTTGTAGATCTAGCTTGAGGGCAGTAAAATGGGGATTATGATCCCTTTTCACGCACAAATTTCAATAATGTCTCACATATACTTTGTGCTGCTATTAACAAATAAATTTTTTTTTTAAGAAATTCATGAATCACGTAATAAGTCTTTCAGTAGCTTTTAACATATCTCACACTAATTTTTGCCCTTATAACATGACATGCATAAACCCTTTGCCACCCTTAAGTATGTTTGTTGCTTTGCTCATGTTCATGCCCAATAATTTCCAGGTTACCACTGTTATGTAAATCTTTCTATGATTTGCAATATGGAAGGTTCATGGAATGATTCAACCACCAAGGGACAAAAATTATGATTCCTCTAAGTATGCTTTCCCCATAAATTACATGTTAGATTTCCACACCAACACCAATAAATTTATTTGTCCCAACAACGTTGGAGAGCAGGAAAGTGATAATTTTTAAAAGAAACCTCCAACCACTACACTCTAATGGCTGTGATTACCAGGTATGAGTAGACAATAGCTCAGTTAATTAGTTAGATTAATAAGCATATTTTGCATTCAAGTACAGTTCAAATAATATTGATAAAAATATAATAACATTTAGCAGCAGGGGTATTTTGCAGGACTTGAATGTTGAATGCAGAATGCTGAATGTCAAATGCACTGTTTGCTTCTGGTTAGTTTCACTCATGTTTGTTTTTACTTTTTTTGTTGGAAAGGACTAAATACAATACAATATAATGCTCAGGGTTCTATAAGGAATTCCAATGGGTCAATTACCACTGTTCCCACCAAATCATTGTAAATTTTCTATCAACTTGTCTGGTCAGGTAGCTGATCTTGTAGTTTTTGACCTGAGACCCCTCATTTGTCTCGAACAATGAATGCCGTCCTTCCCAACAAACACAAGGTAGCCACAAGCAAACATGAGTTAAACTTAACGCTTAAGGTAATATTAAGCAGTGCATTCGGCATTCTGCGTAATTCGGTTTTCTGCAAAATACCCCAGCTAAATATTTAGTAGGGGTAGGGTTTGAAGTGTTACCTTTTTTAATCACAACCACAGGGAGCTGTTTCTTGTTTTTCTTGCAATTTCCTAAAAATTAAAGCGGCCAAGTTATAATTATCTGGAAAAATTGAGACTCGGGGGTGAACCATTTGACTTTTGAGGTGGTGATGGTGATGGTGGGTCATTTGGTATGGCTATGAATTTTCTTTAGTGGATCTCTGGCTCAGGCCGCCAAGCGGAGCACCAAAACTTAGCAGAACCACATAAATGCATGGAGATATGAAACCATGCAACTCATTTTTCATTGTCAACATGGCTAGCGGCATGGATCACAGACACGTATGACGACAACATTGTGCAATATGACAGCCATACTCTAGCTAATAGGTCGACTGAGGTGTGCAGCCTTAGTTTACCTAGTATCCTAACTTTGATATTGAACATCCATGTTATGGTAAATTGACAATAGCTCTCCTCTCCTCGTGTCAATTACAATAACTGTAGAAATTCTCGCGCTTATTGTCTAATTTTCGTTGTCAAAAGCAGAGAGGCATATGAATTTTTGATGCAGTGAGTGAGAGTGCACAATTTGACAATTTGTTATTGAAAAAACAACAACAAACAGACGGCAGTTTTTCACGCCTCTGTCTTGTTATTGACAATGAATGTCCTCATAACATTGCCAAAGTAGTCTCCGGATCCACTCAGCTAACGCCTTGTGGATCGAGAGCTACTTTGACAATGTTATGACGAAATTCATCATTGATACATGTGACCTTTCATATATAAACATGTCATAACAGAAACAGGTTTTGCATGTAAATATTTACCTCTTATTTTCAGCACAGGAACGCTGGAAATCTTCCCATTCCTTCATACATTTGGATCTGTCACCATTATTTTTATCTAGGCATTCCTTTAGGGCTTTATGATCGCACGATGGCGTTACATTCTTGTATAAAGCCTGTGAGCCTGCATCCGCCATGTTGAATATTACCCAGAGAGCACCGCACCACCGGTTGGCTGCTCATGCGCATTGTAGTCGCTTTGCATCATGGGCTGGCCGTTTTTACGAAGTGCTTGAAATCGAGCGGTGTTTGAGTTTCAAAATTGATAGACTGTGAAAGAGAAATAGGCGATTCTGTGGCGTTTTATGCGGTCGAATAGCCGCTTGTGAAGGTGACAAGAACCACAGAAGACGAATCAAATTCAAGGTGGGGCTTTCTTTGCGTAGAAACCCGTGTAGACGCGAGAACTGACGTAATTCTTGTTGGCTAGCCAGCGCATAGTTAGTTCAGAGCATGGGTGGGTTTAGCTCGCCTGTGTTAAAATATGCGTAATATTATGACTGTGTGGCAATCTGACATTCACTTAACTTTAAACTCTAAAGTGTCTTCCTTCTGAATTTCAACCCACACTCTCGTTTCCACTTGACAGTCCACGCTTGTAAAGCGAAAACGATCTTTCAACCAAGGCCCACGAAGTTTGGTAGGTTGCTCACTGATCAAGTTAGGTGACTTCGTTCAATGATCTACTTTTATTAAACGATATTACTATATCCTAACCGGTATAATTGAAATGCATTCTCTTGGGGGCTAGGTTCCTTTGGTGAAAACGTTTTACATTTTCTTCGTTTGTTGTTTAAATCTCTTTAGGAAAGCGGAGGGTGCCGCTACCAAGATGGAGTGAATGTGATGGTTACTGTACACAGATCGCCTAGTGAGGAATGTTTTCAGTGCAATTCAAGATCGTAGATGCTCGTGATCTTAACAAAAGCTGATTGAAAAGACTACGAAAATCTTGAGCCATGGTTTTGACTCCCAGACAGAAAGAAGAACTGTAAGTCACGCTTTCGATTCCAAACTAAGTTATAATTGTACTTTCCAGATCGAGGTATGCGATCGCCGGTTCACTATTTCTTTCTGTGTTTCAATAGAATTTGGTTGAGGCGAGGAAGATCGTACCTCGATCCAGCTACCTGCAACCCCTAAAATGTCGTTTATCGCAAATTAACGTGATAAATTTTCAAAGCCGGCCGGATCAAGACGGATTAACACATTGTAGGAAGTCATAAACATTGGAACAAAAGTGGAATCTTGCAGGTTTCCGCTCGAACAAAGTAACCTCTCCTTATGCCTAGGGAAGGAGTTTACTCTATACTTTTTATTCCCGATAGTTCTTCGTTTTATCTATTTCTCAGGCACAAAGCCATAGCCGATTACCTTTTCCAATGTGGCTTCGAAGATGCTCTCAATGCATTCAAGAAGGATGCAAGCATGGTGAGAAAGTTTTTCGTCTCTACCTACTTTGTTTGAGATGCACTTTATTTTATTGTCAGCTACGTTCTTTTGTGGTGTCAAGTTACCTAATTCATTTTGAATTTGTACAGAGTCTCCACAACTTGTTTCTACTTAATCTTGTCCTGATGACCAATTTAGTTTTCCCAGTGGGTATTAAAACGTCAAGGCAGCACTTTAGTGTCTATATTTTATTAATAGCTCTGTCCAAGGCTAATTCATCATTGTCACATTATATTATTTGTCCTTCTTTGATGTTGTGTCAGAATAACAATTGATAGCTTGCATGGGCAGTTATGGTCAGTAGATTAACCCCATAAATTATTTTTCTGACCCTATCCATTTAACAGCACTGTTTGAATGTTGTGGTATGTGGGCTTTGTGAATACTTCATTTTATATTTCAGTTAACAAACATTACATGATCAGTGGGGGTCACCCCAGTGCTGAGAATTAAACAAAGAAGAGTATGTTCAAAGATCTTTGCACACTCTTCTCCCTTGAAAGTTAATAATTGACCATCTACCATTCTAAAAATGTTATTTTTAGAATGGTAGATAGTAGCTATTTTCAGTGGATATACATTGTTGAAAATTTCATCTTTGAAATGTTGAAATGGTTGTCAAATAAGCCAACGCTGTCAGGGGTGTCATGAATCAGGAGAATCAGGGAAATTTTTATTATCAAAGTCAGGGAATTATTTTAGTTACTGATAAGGAAAATTAGAAAACAATAAAGACAACAAAAGTGAGGAATTTTATTTTAAGGTTTACTACAAAAAGTTTTGATATTGTTGGTAGTTCTGACAGTTCTAAAATGATCAACTGAAAGTATTTCCTACAATATACGTATTTTTTTTTTCATTTGTTCAGCCTTGTTAATCAGTTACAATCAGTAAAAATATTTTCCTCTGGTCAGTGATTCCTGACCATTCAGGTAGTGGAGCTTAGTTTGGTGTATTTGTGGAAGGGAGAGAGATCTGGCTCAGTCAGGCAGGTTTCTTTTAATGCTGCTTTGCCCCTTTTTTGTTTGCTTTGATGTCAATTTACCCCCCTTGCTGTTGTTAAACTTTCAAAGATAGCATTGCTGCCTTACCATAATCGACTTTTAATATTCCATGTTTGATTTTTGCCATCATCAGGTGAAAAAAAATCATTCTAAAGTGAAACTGATATTTGCAGTTGTTGAGAAAAAAATCTTAGGTATACAAGATTTAAACCCATGACTCTTGTGATACTACTGAGCAGATCTAGAGGGTCTATGTACTAGATCAAATTTTTAGCAATCTGTCTGTATCTGTATTAAACTGTGGTGGCTGTTCAGACCTTTGGTCACATAAATGAAATATTGTGATGTGTGACCATTTTTTGCAATTGTCTGGCCTCCTTCCAAACTTCTATGCCCAGTCTTATGCGTGTTGGTCTTTGTCTGACCAGTAAACGTGGGTCTTGTTGATTAAGAGTAATAATTATTTTAAGCCTTGTAGTGTTGGCTGATTATGTATTATGTATTATGTGTTATATTTTGTTCATATCCAGCCTGGAGAACTAGACAAAAAGTATAGTGGCTTGCTGGAAAAGAAATGGACATCAGTGATTCGTCTTCAGAAAAAGGTCAGTATGTGCATGTATGTGTAAGTTTGTTAAACTTGTTCCTAAGGAAGCCGGTTTCTAGTGCTGTTCACTAGTCATCGTGTAATACAGCAATGAATGGTGGTTTGTTTTTAGTTTTCATTTGAAGTGCTTTGGAATTTCATCAATCCTGCCACCAAACAATTGCCAAGAGGTGTTTCTATTAAAAGGGTGGCGGTATTGATAGGGCTTGTTTAAGTACTTAACATTTACTCAAGCCATAACTTTGAAGCAGTAATCATTATAAGGCACTGTTTCAATGTACAACAAAACTCAAATATTTGATTTTTAAATCTACAGATTAGCTTCCAATAAATTCCTGCTTAAAGTGTGAACAGTAATTGCTGGCACTTTGAGCAATAATTTTGCTGGAAATCAATCTTCAGGCAGAGCTGCTAATAAGAGTCAGTCATTGGACTGTGGCAGACCAAAACGTGCCCTTTTCCATTTTCTAAATTACCCCTGGTCCTATGTATTCACAAAGTTTTGAAGAAGGAGGCTGCTTTTGCCATCTTTTCCTAAAGAATCGGGTGAATATCCCTATGAAATAGCTAGCCAAGGTCTTGAAGTAAATGGTGATATTCACTAGCAACCATCTACCTTTTGATAACCCTGATCAATCTGTATTGGACATGCACTATCTCTTTGGGCAAACTTGGGCAAAATTTTTCAAGGCAGTTTGGTTGTGCATCTCACTATATTTGAGATGTTATTTATTTATTTATTTATTTTTTTTTTTACAAAATGTTATGGAAGCATTCTGCCCTGACAACCACTATATCAATAAAATTGTCATTAGTTTCACATATGGTAATATTTACAGAACTCAGTATTTACAGTGTATTGTCAATATCCCTTAACAATATCATTATATTTTCAAATAAAAGGATGTAAGATTTAATAAATTGTACATGTATGGCCTGAAAGGGCAAAAACTCATGTTTCATATCATGAAAGATGAGACAAAAGTTTTCAATTTGTCCATCTGTTACAAAGGCTTGCTATCAGACAGTCATTTATAGCACTTCTCCTGAAATCCACATGAATTTATGGTCGAGAACTGTGGAGCCATGCCCACAATTTTGTTGTTTTGTATTCAATTTGTTTGGAAACCTGTTTTCAGGTAATGGATCTAGAATCCAGGCTATCAGAGGCAGAAAAGGAAGCACATACAGGTGAGATAATGAATCTGTACTGCCTTCTCTATTTTGGTATTTTTACCTTAACTTCAGCTAAAAGCATTATCAAAAGCAAAAACACACATTGGACTATTCTTGTAACCTGGTCCCAGGATTTTCTTTTGTATGGCTGAATTAATCTTTAAGCACTGTCCGAACAAGAAATCTTTGGCGACCAAACACAATCAAACATTGTTTGGTGACAAAACATGTTGATGTTGTACTGAATGGCCAAATGGTATCAAACACATTTGAATGAACAAAATGTTTGATCAAATGTTTGACCTTGTTCAAATTTTATCAAACACGGTCAAACAAGGTACCCAAATGGGAAAATTTTTGGTTACCAAACAAGGTTACCTCTGGGAATGAGATTGTGTTGCATTGTGTTTGATTGCCAAACATTTTCTGATTGAACAGGGCTCTGGTTCCATGTGGAACAAAGAAAGAGAAAAAAGGCTTGGCAGTTATCAATTTTTTAAAAGAACTCCTCAAGAGGAAGCAATTAAATTATGAAAATTATGAATGTTAGTTTGAAAGTAACTTTCAGCTATGCAAACTTAGTGATACTAAAGATGCTATACCAGTATGTTTTTTCCTTGAAGGTGTGTACTCATTTATGCCATAACACTAATACTTGGTTCATACGTGTGTGTAGGTTCTACATTAAAGAAAACCCGCTCTCCGGAGGACTGGATGCCTAGACCACCAGAACGGTATGCCCTTTAGATGTATTAATGAGTCTGGAGGAATTTTGTTTATTGTATTAAGATATAAAATGGCTATGAAACTTGACTCGTACTTTCACAGTATTTTGACGTACCCTAACTAGGTGACCGAGCTGACATTTTGAAGTCATTCTTAAGACTATTTTTAACAGAATGATGGTCTAATGAAAATGATCTTTACCACGACAGATATGCATTAACTGGTCACAGAAGCCCAGTTACAAGAGTATTATTCCATCCAGTATATAGGTGAGATTTTGAACTTTGTGATTAAAGTAATTGTCAAGAGAGAGAGATCAACTGGTATTGATACAATCTGTACATTCTCAAGGAAGCAGGTGATAAACATTCCTGTCTCCAGAGCCATCCATCCTTTACCCTCCCAGTTGGATGTCCTTATGGCTGATCACACAATCTTTCCTCCCCAATAAACGTCTGGTGAAACAGATGGTTCTTTACATAGCCCAATCACGACACATTTCCTGATTAAAGTGCCTATGAAGTAAAAAATAATTGCTGCTTATTTGAAAGGCTTTTCAAAGTAAAGAAGAATGGCGTTTTTCTTTTTGGAATATCTTTTT